GAAGCCTCCTATTAGTTCCAGTAGTTCTATTGTTGAGTCTCTAGGACTTTCTATGTATAGGATCATATCATCTGAAAATAGAGATAGTTTTACTTTTTCTTTGCCAATTTGGATGCCTTTTATTTCCCTTTCTTGACTTACTGCTCTGGCTGGGACATCCAATACATTATTGAATAGGAATGGTGATAAAGGACATCCTTGTCTGGTTCCCTTTGCAAGGGTAATGTTTTCAGTCTCTCTTCATTGAGAAAAACATTGGTCTTGGCTCTGTATATTCCCTTAAATATGTTGAGGAATTTTCCTTCTATTCTTGTTTGCTGACTTTTTACCAAGAATGGGTGTTGGATTTTGTCAAATGCCTTTTCTGTGTTGATTTATATGATCATGTGTTCCTTCTCTTTTGTTTTATTTATATGATGGATTACATTGATTACTTTTCTAATGTTGAAACATCCTTGCATAGTTGATATGAATCCCACTTGGTTGTGATGTATTAATTTTTTGATATGTTTTTGGAGTCTATTAACTAGGATTTGTTGAAGATTTTTGTCTCAATGTTCATGAGGGATATTTGTCTGTAATTTTCTTTTTAGTGATGTCTTTGGTTTTTGTATCAGGGTTACGCTTGTTTCATAGAATGAGTTTGGTTATATTCTATCCTTTCCTATGTTCTGTAATAGTTTGAGTAGAATTGCTGTCATCTCATCTCTGAATGTTTGGTAGAGTTCACTAGTGAGGCCGCCTGGGTCAGGAACTTTTTTTGTTGTTGTTGTTGGGAGGTTTTTTTTTTTTTCTTTCTTCTTTTAATGACTTGTTCAGTTTCTTCTTTTGTGATGGTTCTATTCAAATCTTCTAGATCAGATTGTGTTAGTTTGGGCAGATGGTGTGTTTCTAGGAATTTGTACATTTCTTCTAGGATTTTAAATTTTTGGAGTTAAAATATAATTTTAGCAAATACCAAATATAATTTTAACTCCAACAAATTATAATTTATAGTATATTTGCAATTTATTCTTTCCTTCCCAGTTGCTACAATAGGACATCTGACCTTTCTCACCTATTGCATTAGACCCATGAGGGAAATTTCTCACATGCAAAACTTTTATTCTATTGTTGTTGTGAAAATATATATAATAAAACATTTACCATTTAAACATTTTTTTTAACACTCACATGTTAACTTTAAATGTCTAAATAGTACAGAGTCAAAATGACCAACAATCTTCTGTGCCAAGTGTATAAAATTGAAAATACATCCTGCAAATAACATACTAACTACTCACAAAAATCACTTGAGGATGATATTGTTATCATCTGCATTTTACTGATGATCATACTGAGGCAAAGAGCAGTTTTAAAATAGAGTCCAAGATCAGAAATACATGAGGTAGAGTTCTGGGTTCTCTATTCTGCCATTTGGCTCCAGATCCTCTGCTAAAAACAATCCTATTGCAAAAACTGTAAGGTAATAAAATCCTAGAAGAGAGGCTAATTTTAGCATCATTTTCATTTAAAATTAATTTCATGATTAAAATTAAATACTCATACACTGCTGGTGGGCTTGTAATATGGTACAACCACTGTGGAAAATGGTATGGCCATTCCATAAAAAGTTGGAAATAGAAATACCATATGATTCACCAGTCTTACAACTAGGTATGTATCCTTTCACCACCAAAGTTATTCAGTCTGTATACTGAGAAAATAATCTGAGAAGCTGGAGTATATGAAGAAGAATGCAGCATCAGGATTGGCAGAAGACTCATTAACAATCTCCAATATGCAGATGACAAAACCTTTCTTGCTGAAATTGAATAGACTTGAAGTACTTACTGATGAAGATCAAAGATGACAGTCTTCAGTATGTATTATACCTCAACATAAAAAAAAAAAAAAAAAAATCCTCACAATTGGACCAGTGGGCAACTTCATGATAAATAGAGAAAAGATGGAAGTTGTCAGGGATTTCATTTTACTTGGATCCACAATCAATACCCATGGAAGCAGCAGTTATGAAATCAGATGTAATATTGCACTGGGCAAATATGCTGCAAAAGACATCTTCAACGTATTGAAGAATGCTTTGAAGACTAAGGTGCACCAAACTCTAGCCATGGTATTTTCAATCACCTCATATACATGTGAAAACTAGACAATGAGAACAAATGAAGAAGAATTGATACCTTTGAATTGTGGTGTTGGCAAAGAATACTGAAAATACCATCAACTGCCAAAAGAACAAACACATCTATCCTGGAAGACATGCAGCTGGAATGCTCCTTGGAAGTGAGAATGGCCAGAATTCATCTCATCTACTTTGGTAATGTGGTCAGAAGGGACCATTTCCTGGAGAAAGATCTAGCTTGGTAAAGTGGAGGGTCAGTGAAAAAGGGGAAGACCCTCAACAAGATGGATTGACACAATGGCTGCAACAATGGGCTGAGGTATAGCAAGGATTGTGGGATGGCGCAGGCCTGGGCAGTGTTTTGTTGTGGTATACATAGGGTCACTAACAGTTGAAATGGACTCTACAGCACCTAAGAACAACAACAACATAGTCGAACATTCGGGGGCAAAGTTATGAAAACTTCTTAGCTGTAACCAAATACCTTATAGTCTCAGGGGACATGCAGGTTCAACTGGCACAACATAGTCCACAAAGAAAATGTTCTACATCTGTTCTGGTTACCTACTGCCACTCTGACAAGAATATACTACAAATGGGATGGCTTGAACAACAGAAGTTTATTCTCTTACAGTTTGGAGGCTTTAAGTCCAAGTTCAAAGTGCCAGGCTCTAGGGGCTGGGTGAAAGACCCTCAGCCTTGGGCTTCATCTCTGCCTCCAGCTCCCGGCCCACTGAAGCTAGAGGTTTGTCTTCACTCAGACAGTTGCTGGCTGCTGAGGCTACCAAGCCCAAGATTGACAAGTAAAAAGGCACAGTCCTGATATTACCAAATTACATGGCAGGCCATTAATTCAAGTCTATTTTAAGTCCCAAGGTTGGCAGAACATGGCAGGCTGCTGGACAATGACACAACTACATACAGGGTTCAAGGTGCCATAAGCTAGAGACCATTCCCAAAACTGCTTCTTATATACGGGAAGCAGACCACATACCCAAAGCAGCTAATCAGCTGCTTGTGGTAGATTCCACCATGGAGTTGATTGCTAGTCTCATCATGGGGAATAACTACCACCAGCTGCCCAGCCACTCAACCAGGCCTAGCCAAGTTGACACACAAACATAACCACCACAACATCCTACTTGGTGAGTAGCAACTAGGATCTTAAAACTTGTAAGTGGCCATCTAAGGTACAACTATTAGTCTCT